AATATGTTATAAGTATTATTATGAATGGACCAATTTATGGACTTGAGCATCCTTCCACAATTTTCTTACTTTGCAATCAATCTCAAGTTCCATATGATAGTTGGGAAAAAATTTAATTATCTTGGGATCCCATTATTCCTATTGATGAAAGTTATGTTAGAAATGGGAATGAATCAATCGATACTATCTTAGATCACTCATCACATGCTTCAACCCCATTGATGCCACCAATAGTTGGAAGTTCACTTACTGTGGAAAAGAAATCAAATAAAATTGAAAGAGAACTTCAGAGTATTACGAATGTAATAAGAGATCTTAAGTACCTTTTCAATTACCTAGATTGGAGGATAAAAGAAAAATTTGATCATACTGGAACATTTAAAGCAGGATTAGTGCGAATGCTTAACGAAAAAGGATGGGTAGAAGAAAATTCTACTGATCAATTCCCGTATTGACCCTTCTACAACTTCTACATTCATTAACAGTCGATGGGAGATATCAGAAGAGGATAAAGCACTAAAGATGAGACAGCATAATTGAAGAATTTGGACTCTCTCTACTACTTTATAAAACTTATGTACTTAATGTAAATGTGTGGATTTGATCTAATTTTCTTTACATTAGAATTCTGAATTTTGTTTGTGTGTATAGTTTTGTGTCAACGTTTAGTGTGGTGGCTTGATTTCAATGCTGATTTATAATTTAGTTTGCTTATTATGTGTGAAAGTGTGCTTAGAAAATGTGTTTGTAAAAGTGTGTTTTCATATATAAAAGTTAGTTTGTTACTGTTTGTTCAAATGATTGTTTATGAAAATGTTTTCTTGTGAATAATTGTTAGATAAAAATTTATGTTTAAAAATACTAAATAAAATTGGATAAAATTAAAAATTTGAAAAAATTGAAAAAATAATTTTAGGCCTTCAACACTGACGGCGCTGACATAGACGCCGACGGCTCCCTCGACCCGAGAATAACCTTTAACTCTTTAAATTTACAATTTTCACCGTAAACCTCCATTTTTACCCCTTAAGTCACCTTCAACCTCCAATTTTTGCACCTAGGGCTTGCATTTGCTTGGATTTGAGGCGATTTTAAGGCAAAGGAACTTTGGATTTCATCTTTTCGAGGTAAGAGCTACACTTTGAGTTAAAAAAATTTTATTTTCATCAAAGATTTATCTCACATTGCCTAGATCAAAAAATTTTGAAATTTTTTTGAGAGATTTTGAGAAAATCCTTGTATGAAAAACTCTTACTTAGTGGATTTAAGTTTAAAGTGTTTTACATTGTGATTTTTAAATTTTTTTGAATTTGTTTGAATTTTTTTTTGAATTTTCTCTAGATTCCCATAGCATCTAGAACAAGCATAGAAAAAAAGAAAAGTTGATTATGATGAGCAAAAATTTGTTAGCTTCAGGGCTAGTGCTTGTTTCAATAGTCTACTTGAGCATAAAAAAGTAATTCTGGATCATGGTTTTAAAAATCTGGGAGGAGAAGTGGAGCAATTAATCAATGCTTGGCAGTTAGAAAATTTTTGTTATTTTACTGTCCATGCAATTATTGGTGTAGTGATGGAATTCTATGACAATTTTACTGAATTTTTTGATGATTTTGTTTTTGTTCGTGGAAAAATGGTGGAGTTTTCTCCAAGTAAAATTAATTAGTTTTATCAGTTGGAAGATGTTTCAGTTGCCAGTATAAATCATTTTCTGCTACTAAAGAGGCCTTAGATGAGGTTATTTTTTTTCTTACTTTTGGAAGAGGGACCTAAAAGTTAAGAAATGGTGTTAAGGTAAATCTTCCTCTTTCTATGCTTAATGTAGTATCTGAGGCCTGACACTACTTTATTTTTGGAAGAATGATTCCTACAAATCATCATAGTGAAGTTACCAAGGATAGAGCCAACTTGAACATCTATATTCAGCAAGTGATGAGAATAAATGTAGGCTCTCTTATCCACATGAACACTAGATCTATTACTTTGGGATAGACCACTGGGGGTTTGGCACACCCTGCACTTATTTTTTAAACTCGATGAATAGGCAGGAGTTGATTTTAAACCTGGAGAAGAGAGGATTAAGCCTCTAAAAGCTATTGAGCCTACCAATATAAAGACATATGAATCTCATGTTGATTGGAGATTTAGGAGTAAGACCAGAGATATTCCTTCTACTTTGAGGACCACTACTTCTAGTGACCCTACTAACAGAGAACTTTTAGACCAGATGATGATCCAGTAGTGATATATCTTAATAATGGATCATAGATTGCAAAACATGGATGTCAAAAATGCTTACACTGATGATTTGATACGGTAAAAGTTTGAATATGATGCTGCTTATGATGATGCATTGGTGAGATACTTAAAGGGTGATCATTCAGTTCAGTTTCCTACTCACCCAGTTTTCACTCCATATCTGTGGCAGAATTTGGATGTAGATGAAGAAGATGATGATGATTGGTGATCTGATTTCTTTTAGTTATAATTGATTGTATTTTGTTATTGTGTTGTTTGTTTATATATATAATAAAGGAGCAATCATCATGAAGTTTGGCGGCTGTCTCCCTTGTTGCTCTGCTAGGGTTTCGGCACAATGTTTCAACTTGCTGTGGTATAGGGTTTAATCCTTGGTTAATCCTTGCTACCATTTGTTTTCAACTGGTTTTCTCTCAGCTCATTACTGGGCATAGCAAGTTCTTCGACCCTTATAGCTTACACACCTTCCCGGGTTCTACTTTTTCAAACTTTTACTGTTCCATTGGCTTGTCCATAGTTTGTCTTTGTTTTGCCTTTTCTACTGTGGGGTTGTTTCTTTGGCATCCCACTGGAGGTTTGGTTTCTTAGGGCCCACGATCTTTCTTGTTTTCAAAAGGTCCTTCTTTACTGGCTATGGCTTAGCCTCTTTGTGGTTTCTCCTTCCTTGTTCGGTTGTTGCTTGTTTCACTAGTTGTGAAGTTGGATTTCTTTGGCTGTTCACTGATTTAGGTTTGCTTGGGGTTTCTATTTTGATATTACCTTTGTGATGTCTGACCCTATTCCTATTGACATTTCCACCAACATTCAGTGGGCCAAAGCCACTTTTGCTGACATTGTGGGAAAAGGTCAGGAGGCAGTGCAAAATCCTGATGATTTGGTTTTTCCTCAAGATTATCATGAGGGTCATGACCCCCTGTTTAAACCCATTAGCAAGAAAGGTGGGAAGTTGGCAATCTATTTTACTGAAGAGGATCTAAATGGGCTAACTGAATGTCAAAAATTTACCTTAATTGGTAAATTCCAACTTGGCCACC